ACTTTTTTCAGAAAGTAATTTTGCTCCAGACGAAAACGACTCATGTTCGTCCGTTGAGGGTTAATATTCGAAGATGTTTTGACCGGGTTTGAGCCTAATTATATACCTATACCTAATTTTATACATACATTTTAACAATCCTGGCGTGATCTCACCAAGCGTGGCGTTGCGTCGTGTTTATGGCGGTCGATCATGAGAGAGAGAGAGAGTATTGCAAGTTCGATGTCGAGACTCGAAATCGTCTGTAGACGACTTAGGTTTCTTTTATAAAATCTTTTTATTATAAAATTATTTATAATAAAAATATAGTTTCTATTAATTCCATTTTTATCTGCGTAATGGCTTGTTACTACATGTCTTTAATGACAGAAATTTTGTAATATATTAATAACCCGAATATTTCTTTAATCGGCGGGAAAAAACAACTGCAATACTTCACAATTGCGATTTTTAGGGCTTATTTTTTATTCTAAAAAATTTTAAAAATATTCCTGTTAACAATATACAGGAAATTTGTCATTACAGATAACAAATAAGCGCAAAAGTAACTAATCGTTAGGTATCCAAGAAACATGATAATCTAAAGATAAAACTTGATAAATGTTTTATCAAAAACATACTACTAGAGATATTTTAAGTATTTCTATATTCTTACAGAAGGTTCAAGGTCAATGTGCATAGAAGTGTCGCTGTCTAGGCAAACTGTATGTATGATGATAAGATGTAGAAAGTAAGCACAATATGTAAGTTTGCTCAAAAGAATCCAAACTCTGAACGATAACAACTTATTAACGATATCTGTAATAAATAAACAGATAAATAAGTAGTTATTTTGCTTAGCTATTTAGCATACACAAACACACACAGATATTGGTTAGCTACTGTAATGTATTTACCGTCTATCTTGCCAAATAAAATTTGGGATTTTAACGACAACACTCTCTGAAATTGTTTTTTATTTGCCGAAGTGAAGACTACGCGCGTTTTGTTTGTCTCATCAAACACTATTTTTGTGCAAAATTTCAGATCGATCGGGAGCAGGGGTCATTCGGAAGTACACCCGTTTTTAATTATTACAATATTAGTAACGTTAGTAGGCCTTTTTACTATCATATGTCACTTGATAGCGCATGGATCGCGTGAGCAGTCGTCATTTTCGTTGTAAGTCATTTTCCTATCTTCAGAAACAATATTACTCATGTTCTCTCCAAAAAGTTCATATTAAAATAAATTATAAAAGTAAGCTTCAGACAAAATTTTGTCAAATAAAAAGTTGTTCTAGAATTTAGTCAAGAATATGTATTTTCAAGAATAAAGGATTGTTCTGGATTACCCTGTATATGACATATGTATGTGTGTGTGTGTGTGTGTGTGTGACTAATGAGTATTTTATATAATATTAAGATATTGTAGATATAAAGTCTTAGATTAGCCGCTCGCGCTAGCAGCTGTTTATCATTTTTCGCTGTTTTTCCTCGCTCTTGCACTTATTTACTTACAGAAACACTTCGATTAAATAAAAAAATATTAACACCATAAAAGAATAATTAGAAAAATAAAACATATGAGGAGCATAAATGAAAAGTGAAGTATATAAATCTACTCTTGGCCAATATGTACGTCTTTTTGTTTTAAACAAAAAAAAGAAAAGTATACTTAATTATATATTTAGCAAAATTATTGTTACTATAAAATACATAGAGATAAAAATATATTTTAATGTTGTTTGTTACGTGAAAAGTATTCTGTTAATATACTTTTTACTTTGCGCTCGCAATTACATATAATATACATTAAAAGAAAAAAAGCATTCATGCAACAAGAATTTTATTATATTTAAGTTTTAGAAACAAACTACGTACACATTGTTGCTTAACGAAAACCGCGAGAAGGTGGTGGTTTCTTCTTTCAAAAACAATGTAAAACATTTGTTTTGTTCAATATTGTAATAAATGTTTATATATACGTTTTTTAGCATAAAAACTAATAATATTTAAAATAATTAAAATAATTCTACATGTTATAGTATAAAACAATGTTTCAATAAAAATATTAATAAATACAAATATATAAAAATTAATACACTATTTACAAAACCATTGTTGTGTATTTCCAAAAAGAATATAGATAGAACAGAACAGATAAAAGCTTCTTTTCTACTTCTATCCTTTCTAGATAGAAATAGAATTCTAAAATTTCATATATTCATAAATATATGAAATGTAACCATAAAGTAACCATAAAATCAATCCAATTAAAAGTGCGCTCAGTATAACAACAGTCCAATACAAATATCTAAAATTTATAACTTTTATATTTATTCGATTATACTTGTATGAAATAAAGATAACTGTATACTAATTTTGAAGCAATAACTAATCAACATTTTATATTTATTTGAATATACTTATATAAAATAAAGATAACTGTATAATAATTTTGAATCAATAACTATTCACCATTTTATATTTATTTGAATATACTTATATAAAATAAAGATAACTGTATAATAATTTTGAATCAATAACTATTCACCATTTTATATTTATTTGAATGTAAATGAAATGAGGATAACTGCGCAATAATTTCGAATCAATAGATAATTATCGACATATATACGGTCGACAATATTAATAGGACTATGCCAATTATGTAAAATTGCATATCACTGGCCAGATACCAGCTTCAAGTCAAACACTATAACAAAATGTACATAAAGAAATTTTTATTTGATATATGAGGCTACTCTTGAAACCATAATGAAGTAAGCTGAAATGTTCGCGAAACATCAATATAAAAATGACACTAACATGGTTCAAATCCGGTCAAAACATCTTCGAATGTTAATACAACACACCGCGAAAGCATCAAATATCAAATAATTAGCTAATACACAGAGAGTAACATGCGTTTCTATACTATTGTATTCATATCGTTGTAATTATTTATGCATGAATATTCGATCACCAGAATTTGTGACAGCTTTGTGTAGCTGTTCATATGTAAAAATTATAGACATCGTACTGTAGTAGAAGAAAGTTAAATATACTATTACTATCATAATCGTATAAGCCGGTGTCAGCCTGAAAATCAAATTTTAGTAAAACTATGAAAAACATGCTATTACAATTTGTTGACTAATAAATAAAGTTTTTAATTATATAAAGGTGTATTCTTTTATATTAAGAAATAGTTCAGATCGAATAGTGTGTTTTGCACATTATCTATATACTATTTTACTATATTTTATTCTATTTTGTTTTGTTTATTACGAGAAAATGATGGAACGCACCGAATATATCTCTTTAGTGTATATACACTAAGAAGATAAACAACTCCTGTAATTTTGTCTTGTAATTACTTTTCTGTTTATTTGCAAGCCTCTTTAGATACCAATAAACCAGTAAAAATCCACTTAAATAAAAATCGACAGCCAGGAGCGCAATAGTTATTAATTGAGGAAAACAATCCGTCAAAAAGTCACAACATCCATGGTTTATTATCTATATATGCAAAATGATTTCTTTGTTAAGTTTAAAAAAGAAATGAATATGATAATTCATAAATGTTTTTATTAACTTACTGGTATAGTCGAGTGAAAACATAATGCTATGCAACATGATTCTCCAATCCATTGCCCAAAATTGTAAACCATGTATAATCGGTAATGTGTTCGAATCCACTTTTGTGTTACATATCATTTTTGTATTTGTATAAAGCATATGATAATTTTCTTAATTCTGTTTTCCGGAGGTGAAGTAGAAGGTGCTATTTCCTCGTCTTTTTTTTCTACATCTTGTATATCTACGTGTAATTCGAAATAGTTAATATTTATATAATATGTTTATCGTGACATATATATATATATATATAGAGAGAGGAAAAATTAAAATTTGCGTATACCATCATAAAATTTAACGAAATCGGTTGAATTTATGAGTTAAAAACGCTTATATAACAAGTTTTGCTATATAACGTGCCTTCTGATCGGAGATATGCGACGATAAAGTTTTTGAAGTGAGAAATTCACGTTTTAGAAACATCATTTTTTTGGTTGTCGTTTGACCAAAACGTGTGCATCTCGTATGCCTGCTACCAGATGACACACATATACGAGCGCTGAAAGAAAAAAAAGAAAGAAAGACAAGAAGTGAGTTAGAGAGAGAAAGAGAGAATCAAAAGGCACGATAGTGATTCGTGTTATTCGCGCCGGCAACACCTTCGATATAAAAAACAGTCGAAAGGCCGATACGAGCAGTAAAATACAGGTTGGTCGTGTATAAAAAGTTGTCTTTATTCGATAAATAGACGTTTCGGTCACACAATTTTGGACCTTCTTCAGTATTAAATAATTAAGTTTAATTGAGAAGTAACATTGTAGTACACAACATCACTAACAAATAGATGTCAAAATAATACAATAATATAATGTGTACACATTATATTATTGTATTATTATATTATATTATTGTATTATTTTGACATCTATTTGTTAGTGATGTTGTGTACTACAATGTTACTTCTCAATTAAACTTAATTATTTAATACTGAAGAAGGTCCAAAATTGTGTGACCGAAACGTCTATTTATCGAATAAAGACAACTTTTTATACACGACCAACCTGTATTTTACTGCTCGTATCGGCCTTTCGACTGTTTTTGACTATTTCACGAGCGATTGATTGACCTTCGATATAACTTTTTTTAATAAACTGTTTTGAAACTTAGCACAAAATAACTACAAACTATATACTTTAAGTTTATGAAGTAAAAAATTAAAAATTAATAAATTACAAATTGATTTAATACTACAAAAAATTTTTTCTCTATAAAACTTGTTTTATAAAATTAAATAATACTACAAAATACAAAATGTGTGATATCTCGAAAAACCTATCTTTTCAAAATATATTTGTCTAACAAAAAATTTATATATACGAATTTCAGCGATTTTATACATTATCTTCAAATATCTTTGAATAGAAGACACAGACAACAACACATATATACTTTTTTTTTAATTTTTAAACTCGAATTGGTTGAGACTAAATAGAATCGGTTTATCGGTTTATCGGTTTATTTTTTACTGAAATATGAATATTTTATAAACATAAATATATATCGACTTCACGATGTATAAATTAATAAGAAGTTGAAATAAATAGTCTGTAGAAGTCCATAACCACAGTCGTTGTTATTATTAAAAAAACTTGATATATTTTTAAATGAAATAGACTTGATGTATTAGAGTGTGAATTACACTCTACATAAACCAGACGTTTCGACCGTGGATTCGATCCTTATTAATGTTAAAAAACAGATAAAGAGACTGTTTTGTCAACTGCCATGCCGTTGATTACAGACTACAGTGTTAATTACCCTTTCACCTTTATGCCTCCTTATCTGCTTTTTAATATTGATGAGGAATCCAGATCCACGGTCGAAACGTCTGGTTTATGTAATGTACACTATACATCAAGTCTATTTCACTTAAATACATCAAGTTTTTTTAAATATATTTAATATATTTATTTATTTATTTAATATATTTATATATTTTTTTAAATATATTTTAATAATACACAACAACGACTGTGTCTGAACTTCTACTGACCATTTATTTCAACTTCTTATTGATAAATATTTTATTTATTTATAAATATCAAATTTACTCATTTTCTCGCATAATAAAGGCACGAAAGGCTCGCATCGTTCGCGCACTTCATTGCGCGTGAACTTGGCGCCAGGCGTTACCGTTTACCGTGTTTTTTGATACTGGTAATAATTTAATATTTAATACACAAAATGTAATTAAAAATATTATCATTAATGTAAATTTAATACATGCAGTACAAAATGTATTTTATTAATGAAAACTAATTAAGTTTAAAATATTTATATATATCCTAAAAATTATTAATTATTTAATTATGAATATGTGTACTTACCAAGAGACGTAATTAGTCGTAAGTAAAAAAAGAAGTGTAATTACTCTGTGGATGAGAGACAGCTTGGGAGCGCACAGTCAAATATCGATTCAACACTCTGGCACAAAGATATTTGCAAGAGTTTTGGTTGCTGACGCCTCTGCAACGGCACTCGTAACAGTGAGCGCAGAGCGTTTCAGTAATTGCGTTTAGAGATGCCAGTTTGTGGACGCTAGCAGCAAGTAGAAGGGATATAAGTTACGCACAAGAAACAGGTTAGCGGCTAGCAGTGTTAGCTATAGCTATAGCTAGAGGGAAAGAAAAAGAGCGGTTATATATGTCCGTTTCCTTCTACTTGAAGTTGCCGAAGCGCTGAGCGCACACATACACAGTTGTTCGTCTGTGTGCGTATCTTCTCTACTTGCTGCTGCGTGCTGTAAGAGAACCGAATTTATGATGACAGGAATAATGCCTGACGATCTGGCCAAAAGCGGCCAAAAGTGGCCAAGAACCGGATTTGGGAGGAATCGTTCTCAAAACCGGTACCTAGTCGCTTTTGAAAAGGTCGCCAGACACATTATTACTTTCCACACAGAACAAAATATTCTATTGAACATCTATTAGACTTTCATGATGGAAATTGGAAACATCTAATAGACGTCCACGTTACTTCTAGTGAATATCTATTAGATATCTAGAGTTTATTTTTTAAATACCCGAGAAAAAAGCAATATAGGATCATATAAAAAATCATATGTAATTAATCAAATCTGATCAGATCCGAAACTTGGCGCGATATGATCTTACAAAATTATTTGTGATCTTATATAAATAAAAAAAAAATAAAATATTTTTTTTATCTTATGTTATATACTATCCATGTGCATAAATGTACCTATATACGTATATACATAAATATGGTACTATAAAATAAGATATAATTGTTTAATTAAACGAACTTAGGTAAAGTTTGATTACAATTATGCTGTTTTGTCCGGATGGATAATGACAGTACATACAGTGGAACGCTACTACCATTATCCGTCCGGATGAGACGTTGCATAATTGTACATACAAAGTGTCCCAGAATTGGTGACATTTCTCGTAGACAGGTAGAAGAAGTAAAACTGAATCGAAAAGTCCTATACTATTTTACTAGATTTGCAATAATTGCCGAGATCTTAATTAACAAAGATCCGCGAATGAGTGTGCAGCCACGTGCGAAATGACAGCTCGGAGCTGTCATTTTTTCGCGCGCTCGTACGCCGCGTAGTAACGGAATGAGAAGAACTAATATAAACAGCATATATTAGTTCCTTTCATTCCGTTGCTACGGCGTACGAGATCTCGGTAACTATTGTGAATCTAACAAAATGGTATAAAACTTTTCGATTCAGTTTTACTTCTTCTACCTGTTTACGAGAGATGTTAAATCAATTCTGAGACATCCTGTATATTTAATTAGATATGTATCTAGTATAACTAATATATGGTTTTATATGCTATATAAAATAATATACAATTGTATATGATAATTATTAATTGCAATAAACGGTTTTTTATTTAGGCATGGTAATACCTCGCGCCAAGTTCACGCGCAACAAGTCGCGCTCGAATGAGACACCCGTGCCTATTATACGCGAAATTCACGCGATTTTTGAGAAGTGGGGAAATTTTCACCTTCTAAGGTGAAGCGGACGCATCTCTTATATCGAATTCGATTGACCGTACTATAATACATAGTCAGATTTACTATAAGAGATGTCTATTAGCTGCGTGTTGTCCGACAGGAATAAAAAAGAATACATATTTAAATATATGTGATATGTTTTAACGCAAATTTGTGATAAGCAAAAAGTACGCGAATGACTCGTGAATGTTATCTCGAGTAAATATTGTCATATCATATGTTATGATAAAAACTCGGTGAGAGAGACGCGCGTGAAGATAAGAATTTTAACTTTTTAAATCAAATACTGTGACTTTTTTTTTTTTCTTTTTGACAGAAGGATTTGCTAAGTTGTTATTATTTGGATAAAAATATTTACAACAACTGACAACAACAAGTAGTGTTCATTGGTTTATAATTTTTTTTTTATCGCTTTCTTTTTCATTCTTTCCGCTCCGATTTTTTTTTGTTTTTGTTTTTAATAATATCTACGCACTTGTACAAAACAGGAATCATCGAACAACTTTTGTTACTAAGACTGGCTGTTACAAATAGCAGATTATCTTAGAGAGTGTCAGGTGCTAGTTCAATCTGAACCGATCGCAATTCAATTTCAACATTCGCTCAACTCACTAACCGACTACGAGCAATCAGTTCGCAATTTATGTGACGCCGTAACTTTGTTAAAGCTATTGGCGCAAAAGTTCAGAATATCCGCAACTTATATTACGTTGCTTTTTAATCAATAGCAATCTTGTTTTTGTAATTGCGACACATCGTGACATTGTCTTGATTTTAATCACAACACATGAATCTGATAACAGTATCGTTGTACTTTGTTTCAGACGGTTTCGATTTCAATGTTATGCAAATCATCAGATCTTCGTCTTCATCGATGAGTAATAAACTTTTTTTGTACACCTAGATGACTTGCTCTGTTTTTTTGCATAGAAAATGAAAGATAGAACTTTGCGACGTGATGCGTTTAACAACCTTGTTGCGCGCGATCTGAAGTGCGATTTACATATCTTCGCGCACACCGAGTGGATCGAATGATGCAATGATTCTGTGAAGTGTGTTTTTCTTCCCCCTCCTTTAACTCTTCTACGCAATATCTCTACTGGTCTTCATTTATAACGTTCCGCGCGACGTTTAACAAAGCTATTCGTGTGCGTGTCATCATCATCGCAGGATGGAGTTATCCGCGTTATTTTCGTCGCCGTTTGTGCTGTTATTGACTACTTTGATAGTCCTCGGAGTTCTAAGACTTCTCTTTCTAGGACATTATTTGTTCTCTTACTGGAAGAAAAAAGGCATACCTTATATTCCGAATTCATTGAAGGCTATTTTATTTTTGTGGAAACCGTTTCTCCGTTTAACCAGCTTTGCCGATTTCACTCTGGATCTCTACAACTATTATCCGGATACCAGATATTTTGGATCAATTGATTTCGCTACGCCTACTGTGATTCTACGCGATCCCGAGCTAATCAAAGATGTGACGGTGAAAGAGTTTGAGCATTTTCACGATCATCGCACCTTTGTGGACGAAGAAATAGATCCGCTGTTCGGCAAGAACATCTTCTCCCTGCGCGGGGATCGTTGGAGAGAAATGCGAAATACCTTAAGTCCGTCCTTTACTGCCAGCAAGATGAAGTTCATGGTTGAATTGATATCAAAATGCGCCCATGAGTTTGTCGATTACCTGATCGATCATCCAGACCTTTGTCATTCTATTGAGACAAAGCAAGTCTTTAGACGATACACCACCGACGTAATTGCCACAGCCGCTTTCGGCATAAGTGTCAATTCCATGAAGGAACAAAACAACGAGTTTTACGTGAAAGGAGTGGAAGCCACAAAGTTTTCAAGTGGAGTGCTGAGAATGGCGAAATTCATATTTATGCGCGCATTCCCGCGATTCTCCAAGTCGATCGGCATAAGTCTCTTCGCGCCAGATATATCTGAGTTTTTCAAGAGAATTGTGAGAGAGACCATTAAAGCTCGCGAGGAGCAAGGTATCGTTCGACCGGATATGATTCATCTGTTGATGCAAGCTCGGGACAAAGAAAATCCGAGCATCCACAAGATGACATTGGACGACATTGTTTCGCAAGCTTTTATCTTCTTCTTCGCCGGTTTTGACACGTCTTCAACGTTAATGTGTTTCGCCGCCCATGAATTGGCGGTCAATCCTGATATTCAAGATCGTCTGCGTAAGGAAGTAGAAGAGCATAGCGATGAAAACGGTGACATCACTTACGATTCGTTATCAAAGATGACTTACATGGACATGGTAGTTTCCGAAACTCTCAGAAAATATCCACCAGCGGTTATAACCGACAGACTTTGCACGAAGAATTACGAATTGCCTCCGGCAAAGCCGGGTTATAAGAGCGTTATTGTCGAAGCCGATAATGTAATAATGATTCCCGTTTACGGACTGCATCACGATCCCGCGTATTTCCCGAATCCGCAGAAGTTCGATCCTGAAAGATTCAACGACAAAAACAAGGACAACATAAATCCGTACGCTTATCTGCCTTTCGGACTCGGGCCTAGAAAATGTATTGGCAATCGGTTTGCTCTCATGGAGACAAAACTTCTACTAGCTCATCTTTTGCAAAAATTCACTTTCAAGACCACGGAAAAGACCGTCGAGCCTGTCGTGTTCGACAAGAACGAATTCGCGTTACAACCTGTCGGAGGATTCTGGATCTCCTTGGAGAAAAGAATATAAATCTTGACTTAAGATGCGAACAGATGTCTACTTTTTTTATAATGTCACATTAAGTAATTCTGTCCTGTGTTATCTAATGTCAAATTAAGTAATTCTATTACGCGTTACCAAAAAAAAAAACAGATAAACACTTGTCTTGCCATGAACAGTGACCGCGATCAAGTGGAATCGCGAAGGTCAACGTCGATGTTGTGGTTTATGTAACTAATTTGGTCGTGGAATAGGATAATTGATTGACTTTAATAGATATGTTAATAGATACGTTCTTTATATTATTTTTTTATATAAACATTTATATCGCATCACGATTTTACATTGTTGTAGACAGTTGTTTTCTTCAACGTAGGTTGTTTATTGTATAATTAAAAAAAAACTTAAGCACTCTATTGCGCAATGATTACATTTTACGATATTTGATATAATAACGCACAACTGACTGAAACAATGTGTTCACAGTGTATTTGTGATAACTAAAAAAAAAGCTGTAAAAATATTTTTTTACACGATACATTTTACAAATAGAATTTTGCCAATAAAACTTTTGAAAGCAGTAAAATGTATATATTGAACATCATATATAAATAATTATCTTTCTTTTTTGCAGAGAAAATTGTTACTTTTATATTATAAAAGCTACTTTTTATATAAAATAAAATTCTCAATAAATAATCACATTACAATATTAATATATACAAATGTTTTGTATCTCTCTTTCTCTCTTTCTCTTTCTATTTTATCATCAGAATTATCACTTTTTTGGATTAAATAGCGCGCGTAATTGAAAGTATAAGAAATTCTTATCAATATTACTGAAGGATCCTAGACTTTTTTTATCATATTAATAAATTATCAAAAGTGAAAATTGTGTTAATACATATGTGTCGTGTCTTCTTAAACAATTGTTATATTATTTTTGACGCACAAAGTTTAAAAGTTTAAAAATCAACTATACAACGGTGCTTGCTGTTTTGATTGTTTCTTGCTCATCCGAAGAGAATTACCTCAAAAAAAACAGATGAACGCGAAAGTTCAGAGAGGGAAGATTGTTTTTGCAGGTTAATCGCTTGAAATACAAATTTGCATAGAAAAACAGCGCAAAGAGCGGGGCATATTGTTCGCATCTATGTACAAGTTTCGGATATTTTACGCCAGAGAACTCGCGGGCTCTTTGGCTATTTCTCAATTTTTGTTCACGTTTGTAAGATATTCTCACGGTTTGTTGCAACGACCGATGTTGATAATTGTTTGTAAAAACAAAATTCCGAAGAAAAACATGAATGTCTTTACTACACTTTGAATGGTTTTCTAACAAGATACGCTCGATATTACAGACGTACGCGAAAGCTAAAAGAGCGTAAACTTGAATTTCACATTGAACTTCATCTCGCGTGTAAAACAGAAAAATGGATTTAATAGTACAAAACATTCTTTCTCTAAAAACCTGTTTTACAAAAGAAGTGATATCAAAAAGTAGCGCCAAGTAAAGTTTTGTACGTTATTATATTGAAAAACAATATACAATCAAGAGAAATGCGACAAACAACATCCCGAAATAAAAGAGAAGGTACGATTCGATGTTAATTATATATACATCACTAAATAAGTTTTATGGTTACAATATTCATTCTAGATTGAGACTGGCATTCAACCATTCAAGAATCGTTTGCGTCGAAAGGAATCGCGATAGAACTGCTGAAGTGGCGGCTGCAAGGACTAGAAGATTACAACAAAAATTAGATTACCTTCTTACATTACGCTCAAGTAAGTATAAAAAACAATAAAGTGTTACAAATGTATAACGAGAAGTATAAAAACTACAATCAATCAACAAACAGTGCAAATACATGGACTATAAAAGATATTAATATCATTTCTTTTTTTAGTTTCTCTGCGAAACTGCTCTGACGGAAGAGATACAAATTACTTCTGAAGTCCATCCTGGAAGCGAAATTAAGATTCGCGGCAGCTTTTTAAATACTTGTGAATTCTCCGAAAGTTATACTTGCCCTCAGAAAACTCCAATGAATCTAAAGAAGTGTGCCTTTTGGTTCTAAGCCAAAGAAATGTAGAAGCAACGTATCTACAAATTTGTGAACGAGATATTCCTTCTGTAACAAACATTTTGTAAAATTTACAATTAGTATATTTCTAGATATACATACTGAACTCTGTGAAACCTCGGGAATTACAGTAAAATAACGATTTTTTTTGGATTAAAAAAAAATTAATAGTTTCAGATGCACAATTTTTGGTATATTTAGTATGATTTTAGACTACTTGTAATGGGCGTAATGTTTAGATCATTTACGATCTATTAAAAAGAAAATTAATCACAATACTGTAGATTTTTTGATGCTTTATGATAGAAAGACTAATTAAAATTCCTCAGAACTCAGTATGATATATTTATGCGTACAAAACACAAGTGAATATTTATATGTAAATCTTTATAATGTAATACATATATGCTTGTAAAGAAAGACATGTGCAATAATATATTTCCATATAATATATTTCTTTTGCATGAAAAAAATCTTTCTTTGCATGAAAAAAATTTCTATCTGAAATCGTTTCGAACTTTTTCATTGTATGTAAGGTAAAAACGTTGAAGTTGCATAAAACTCAAAGAAATATATATTTGGCTTTTTATTCCACTCTGTCAAAACCGACGTCTACAATCTTTTGGACGACGCAAACATATACATGTCCTTTAAACTAAGTATCAGTCGTTTGCTAGTTTTTCTATATTTTAAAGATATAAAGTTCTATAAAATCTTTGCGTATCACGATCCGTTTAAAGTGCATTTGCTTGACGCATAAGGGATTATGCATATTCGTCGATCCTGTGTACTAAAAGCTCATTTGTTTTTTTGTATTAAATATTTTTTATTTTGAAAATTTCTACATGGGTTTTTGACTTTTCACACAAAGCGAAATCTACATGTATGATTTGACATAGTTTAAGTTTTTTTAGCAAGTTATTTCTTATATCGATGGGTGCTTTATATAAAAAGTACTCTGGTCACACAATATAGTTTAACCTTTCTATTGTTTTAGAATATTTTATATTTTATATTTTACAACGTATAAACAACTTACAAAGTTTTATACAATATTTTGTAACAGTGTATAAATATATAAGATTTTACTCGGTCTGCTATCATTTCTTTTGTAGAATAGATTTTGTGGAGAAAGATTTTTATAGTAATACTTGTTCTAGAGATACGAGTTACGCGTGTACTTGGCGCCTTTTTTTACTTTTTTTTGAAAAGATATTTTGTTTGGGTAAATTTGACATCATGATAAATGTTGGTCGAAAAATAAAATACATATAAAATTGTATTACATCTTTTAATTGAAAAACATCTTTAATTAAAAAGTACCGCAAAACCCGAATATCTTATATATGTGTATGTATAAAATCTGATTCAAACAAATCGTATGATCGAAATAGTGAAACATACAACTCTTCTGATATGTACAAACTGAATGCTTATTTTTTTATTTATCGACTATATCTTTAAATTTGAGTGACCCAAAACAATCATATATTTCCACTTTAAAAATTTAAAATCCCTAAAGTCTCCTAGAACATATGTTCTAGGGACTCTATTGGACAAAGAGAACCGCGACCGTGTGCATGACGTCACGCTCGGCTGTCGGCTCGTAAAAGGGTGCAAACATATTGTTTTATGTTCCGTCTCCTTTCCATCAAGCCAGCCGCGCTACGGGCTTTGAAGTTAGTTTGAAAAGAGCTTTCATCCGTTATCATACGTTATTCTGCACCATTCTACAACAAGCAGCAACAAGAGACTACGCAAAAGACTGACAGGGACTATTGCTACTGCTAAGATTATCCTTTGAGAAGAGTCAAATCGCATAAAACTGTATGTATAATTTTAGATAAATTTCATACTACGATATATGCATAAGTGCATGTGCAAAAAAGTAGCTCGCCTGTAAGTTTATGATTTACATGTTCTGAGATTAAAAAAAAAAAAAAAACCGGAAAAGAATTTAAATCAGAATAAAGAAGCAGGTTTGTGACAAAATTTAAAAGACTAATTAGAAAGCCCGTGGTCCAACGTTAGTGGTGGTGAAAATAAATGAATTAGACGTGCTTTGGTTCGTAAAACGTTTCGATCTTTATTCAGATTGTTTTCAGCCAATTGCAATTGTTCAGCTAGAAATGACGGTCATTCTGCATTCGTAATGAAGTCAAGAGAAACCCAGAGATGTGTGTGACTCAGAGCAGAAAAGAAATCTGCGGTGTCTGTAGTACGAATGAGACAAACCGAAAAAACTGTTTTTTGACCATCATTTTAGCTGAGCGATCGCAATTGACTGAAGAAGATCTAAATAAAAATCGAAACGTTTCACGAACTAAAGAACGTCTAATTCAGTTATTTTCACTTACCACCAACGCCGGACCACGGACTTTCTAAGGTCTAATTGGTCTCTAGAAAAGAGTTTTTATGTTTTATTTACTGCGGATTTCTTCATACCTCTTGATAGCTATCCTCTAGATAAAGATGTCCGTGATACATGTGATATCTTTTAGATAAGGTTATCGCGAACTAATCTAGAAGTGAAAAAATTGGCTATTATTGCCGATTTTTTCACACCTTCTGATAGCTAATCATCTCACAGCCAATTTTTTCAATTCTAGATAAGTTTTCGATAACTTTATCTAGAAGATATCTCCAAAAATTGGTTCTCCTTATTGGTTCTCAGAGGAATTTATCCAGAGGATAGCTATCGCGAGGTATGAAAAAATCGGTCGTCAATAAAGATATTTGTGATACATGTGATATCTTTTAGATAAAGTTATCGAGAACTTATCTAGGAAGTGAAAAAATTAGCTGTTAGTGAGTTCGTTAGATAAGCTTTGGAATGTTGCTAGATTTATTGATTTCTAAAATAAATGTTCTCTCAAAAACAAAATCACTCAGATGATTTAACTATGGATCTCAGCAGATTGAATCTGTTCGGCTATTTTTCGGCCACAAATGCGATTTATGACATTAAAAACAAATGAAACTATAACACGGACAAATATTGCATATTATTAAAAAATTTTACTTTGTTTTTTAGATATTATTGTAAGAACATTACAATTGTATTTGTAACAAAACAAAAATGGATCAACTAAGAGATATGGTAAAAAACATTATATATACACGTACAATCGAAGAGAAGTTTAGTAAACTCAAGACTGATCAGGAACGTGTAAAATTTGCTCTCAATGTTGTGCATGATCATAAAAATATTTTTCCTAATCTATCAGAACTTTTTGAACGCCACTTTGGATTGCAAAAAGATGCCAAAATATCAGAGAAACTACGGGAAGATGGCAATAGAATCTTTATTACTGGTGGTCTCAATAATATGACATGTTTAAATGCACTGAAATTGTATACTAAAAGTATAGCCTTTGCGCCTTATCCATCTGAGCAACTTGCTCTAGCATATGCCAACAGATCGGCGGTTTTGTTTCACCTGGGCTTGCATGTAGAATGTGTTCTGGACATCGACCGAGCATTAGCTTTCAATTATCCTGACAATCTGAAAACAAAGCTTTATATTCGCAAAACAGAATGTTTGTTGATTCTGAAAAGTTGTTCTACAGAAAACACTCTTAAAGAAGCCCAGTATTGGCTAGAGATGTCTTTGAAAGATACAAATCAAGAGAAGCTGAGAACAAAGCTAGATATTTTACATCGTAAGACGGTACAAATTACAGTAAATGTTCAAAACCCTTTGAGAGAAGCACAAATACAGGAACCTCCGCTCCCTACTATTATACCTCAGAATAATGAAGTTCCTTGCGCATCAGATGCAGTAGCTATAAAGTACAATAAACGCTATGGTAGACATGTTGTTGCCACTCGTAACCTTCGTCCAGGTGAAGTAATTGCTGTGGAAAAGCCTTATTCGATGATGTTAACACACGAGAATTTACTAACACACTGTTCCAATTGCTTGAAAGTATGTTGGGCAAATATACCTTGCAACTACTGTATTTATGCTATGTATTGCTCAGAAGAGTGCAAATATGCGGCATGGAAGAAATGTCATGATATAGAATGTGCTGTCTTTGCCTATTTGCCTGAGAATGCTTTTTCGAATNGTGATTTCTTCAGNTTGAGACTTGTCATACTTGCTATAAGAGAAGCTGGCAGTATACAGCAATTAAGAACCATGCTACAGGAAGTTGACAAATGTGATGGTATTAAGAATTTACTTTCAATGAACTTTTCCTAAAAGTCTTAAATTTTATACATGTGTGTACAAAAACACACACATGTGCATATACACGTTATTTATATTTAGTATATTGTTANCGATACTGTTTCAGATCTTCGAACAAAGGGCTTTTCTCAAGATGGAAAGCTGCATAGTGATCGATACATCAGCATATACAGTCTTGTAACAAATACAGAGAAACGAATGACCATCGATCTGTTCATAAATGCTTTAGATGCAGTTTTTTNTTTATATCTTTTAGCGACACGCACTGCGATATTTGGCACTAAACTACCTGAAGATTTTAATNTTTTAACGAAAAACAAGGACATTGTGTTTATCGGTGGTCTTATTATGAGACACCAGCAGATTCTTTCTTGCAATANCANCNTTATTNAAGAAGAACAAGATTTAAATCAATTAATACGTGGTGAAGCTGCTATGCCATTTTTCAGCTTGTTTAATCACAGCTGCAATCCAAATATACTGAGGCAGTCAAGAGCTAAGCACGTAGTGATGTATGTCAAGTATCCCATTAAAAAGGGCGAGCAGGTGTAGTATATTGCCTTGTTTGTGATACACTATTTGGTTACAGTACAGTAAAACTTACGTTTATCTTATTATAGCTTTTTGATGGGTATACTGAATACTCATTTAATCTACCACTTTATCCAATCTACGATCGAGAAGCCAGACAAAAAGAGCTACTCAAACGGTATTATTTCACCTGTGATTGCATACCGTGCCAGGAAAACTGGCCTTTATATCACGAGCTACAGTCATACAATGTAAATTACAGCATCGAATGTGCTTAATATGATTGTTAGAACTAATTGATTGTTTCATGTTAACGATTCTTTAACGTTTCATTTTTGGCACAGATTTTAGTAAAACAATTGGCGGACAAGATCAAGATACAAAAGGCGTTACGCAAGCTAATTACATATGACATAATGGCATTAGAAGATGAAATACAAGACAAGCCTTATGTCATCGATGATTTACTAATGATGGTGCAAGTACTACACGAATGTGCGCCGATGCCTTGTTCGGAGATGGTCANCGTCATTAGAACGTTAACGCGAGTGTACAACTTGATTGGAAATAGATTTGAAATGCCAAAAGTGTGGGAAAACCAAAACTAAAGGAGAAATGTTTTATTATATTTTTCGACTGACGAAGTATAATGCATTCTATCAAGTGAGATACAACAAATAAAATAAGTTTAAGAAGTTTTGGTTTTGTAATATTTGTTTCTACAATGTGTGATTTTAACGTAAAAAGCTATCTTATAAAGATTCCTTGAAAGAGATTTATAATTCTGTAAATATATGTAGATATATATATATATACAATTTTTGTGAAAATTATTTTTTGAGGAAATATATATACTACTCACACCTACATCCACCCACCCCACGCGCGCGCGTGCACACACACACACACACACAAACACAAACACAAGCATGTTTATGCATCAAAAAATGTAACATTTACTAAGTGTTTTAACAATGTACTGTGTTTTTAAAATATTGTATTTGTATGTAAAATATTCAAACAACAATATATAATACTATTTAATCGCTATAACGGTAAACTTTTTTATTTATCACTTTCTCTAATTTTTCGTCATTTTATTTGTATTTATAATGATATACAAATAAAAGAAAATATTTAAAAAATAGTAAGTGCAATTAAGTAATAATGGTAGTCAAATTACTTAAAATAGTATATAGTCTTTATTACAAGATTTGTGATTCAATTGTCAATTGTACGTAAGTTAATAATATTTACTTATTCTCATCCACATAGCATCGTTAGTAGCACAAACATTTCTGCAACGGGTTTTTTAAAACTTAGCAACGTTTCGTTAAAAGTCTCTAAAACATCGTAGTAACGTAGCGGAAACGTCGAAATGTTCTCTTTTTAAGTTGCGGTCCGATTTCGTAGAAACGTATAAGAAACGTTGTCCGATAAGTTGCAAAGTTACAATGTTTATAAAAATATAAACATTAAAAACTTTGCAACTTATCGGACAACGTTTCTTATTCGTTTCTACGAAATCGGACCGCAACTTAAAAAGCGGACATTTCGACGTTTCCGCTATGTTACTACGACGTTTCAGACTTTTAACGAAACGTTGCTAAGTTTCGAAAAAACTGTTGCAGAAACGTTTGTGCTACTAACAATGCTATGTGGGCACTAACCAAACGATAATGGGAGAGAGTCATTAAAACAGCTGATAAGTTATCTCTAAATTACGAGAGTTAAAACTTTCCTTGGAGACGTTTTTTTTCTGTATCTGTATATACAATCCGCCACTTTATACCTGAATACACCGAACTATGCCATGCCGTGCCATAGGAAAAAATGTTCTAATGCATCCGCTGTTGTGACACCTATTTAAATTTGACATCATGATAAATGTTGATCGAAAGATAATAAAACACGTATAAAATGCTTGTTTTAAAAAATATCGCAAAACTTCAATATCTTATGTACGTGTATGTAAAATCTTATTTTAACGAATCATATGATCGAACAGTGAAATATACAATTATTCTAATATGTACAAACTGAATGTTTAATTTTTTAGTTATCGACTGTATCGTTAAATTTGATTGACCCGAGAGATTAATATATATCTACTTTAAAAATTCAAAATCTCTAAGTACCTAAAATACGAATTGTTCGTGCTTTAAAAAGTTCTCTGTGATATTAAATTTGAACTAAATTTCCCGCTTTATGTGTATTCGAGTGTAACTAAAGCGTTCCGAGTTATTCATATGCGTGTATCTATACTATACGTAACGTGTACTAAAGATAAATGCGCGCAATGCATAACTCGGAACGCAGCCCTAGTTCTCGGTTAGCCTGAGGTATGTTCCAACATCTTACCTTGGTAACCAAAAACTAAAGTAAACGTGACGTAAAATATAGCATTTTAGTAACCAAAGTAAGATTTTGGAACGTACTCCTGATCGTCGGCAAGTGAGAAACGCGAGCGTGTGAGTGACGTCACGCTCGGCTGTCGGCTCGTGGAAGGGTGCAAACATATTGTGTTTTATGTTCCGTCTCTGTTCCACCAAGCCGGCCGCGCAAGCGGGCTTTGAAGTTAGTTTGAAAAGAGCTTTCATTCGTTATCGTACGTTATTCTGCCACATTCTGCAACAAGCAGCAACAAGAGACTACGCAAAAGCTTGACAGAGACTATTGCTACTACTAAGATTATCCTCTGAGAAGAGACAAATCGCATAGAACTGTATGTATAATTTTAGATAAATTTCGTATCACCTATATATATGCATAAGTACATGTGCAAACAAAGTAGCTTGCCTGACTGTAAAAGTTTATGATTTACATGTTCTGAAATTAAAAACAAAAACAAAACAAATTTTTGTCTTATTTAGTAAGTTCGTTAGATAAGCTTTAGGATGTTGCAAGATTTATTTATTTTTAAAATAGATGTAACAAAAACAAAATTACTCATATTTATTGATTTAACTATGGATCTCAACAAATTGAATCTGTCCGGCTATTTTTCGGCCACAACTGCGATTTATGACATTAAAAACAGATGAAACTATATAACACGGACAAATATTGCGTATTATTGTAAAGTCTTACTTTGCTTTTAGATATTATTGTAAGAACATTACGATTGTATTTGTAACAAAACAAAAATGGATCAACTAAGAGATATGCTAAAAAAACATATATATACACGTACAAACGAAAAGAAGTTTAGTAAACTCAAGACTGATCAGGAACGTGTAATATTTGCTCTCAATGTTGTGCATGATCATAAAAATATTTTTCCTAATGCATTAAAATTTTTTGAACGCCACTTTGGATTGCCAAAAGATGCCAAAATATCAGAGAAACTACGGGAAGATGGCAATAGAATCTTTATTACTGGTGGTCTCAATAATATGACATGTTTAAATGCACTGA